CTCTCGCCTCCTCCTCCTCCTCCTCTCCTCGCCTCCCTCCTCCTCCTCTTTCCCTCCTCCTCCTCCTCGGCTTCCTCCTCCTCTTTCCCTCCTCCTCCTCCTCGGCCTCCTCCTCCTCCTCCTCCTCCTCGGCCTCCTCCTCCTCCTCCTCCGCCTCCTCCTCCTCCTCCGCCTTCTCCTCTTTCCCTCCTTTCTGGGAGGGGGTGGGATGAGGCGGAGCTGCATATGCTAGTTTCACCCGCCTCCGACATGAAGAGCGGGGGGCTGGGGCCACGCTCACCATCCGCCACCGTCCCCCCCCTCCCCTGGCACATGCCGGCGTGGTAGCATACTAAGTTCTCTCCCAACGCCCAGCCGCGTGCACCAGCGCCGGTCTGCGCGAGAGGTGCCGCCGAATCTCAGAAATGTGGCAAATCCCAAGTGTTTTTGGACCCTGACCCCGCCGATCTGCGTGAGGGGTGCTACCGAATTTCAAAGAAGTGGCAAATCTCATGTGTTTTTGAACCCTGAGGCTCGCCGAGGCCCTGCCCTGCCTCCCGAGGCTCGCTGGGCGGACCGACGCCTGCATGGCGCTCGCCAAGGCGCCCGAGATGGCTTCCAGGACGACGGAGGCAGGCCACCAAGGCCGCCAAGGTAGCCCACGCTCCGAGACGGCCCCAAGACAGCCCCAAGACAGCACCAGATGGCCTCGGGACGGCCCAGGCAGGAGACCGCAAGATCGAATCGACAAGTCGGATCTGCGATCGAAACGGGTCAGATCGGCGGAAATCGGCAGCCGAGTCTGGAAAAGTCGAATCGGCGGAAATCGGGAGGCTGGTATGCCTCCAATGAGAAATCGGAGCCCGCATCGGAATCCCAAATCGAATCGAATCGGAATCGGAAGCCATCGAAGTTGAGTCGAATCGAATCGGAGGGATCGAAATGAGCCCTGCCCAGGAGACCTCCAGGACGACGCAAGAGGGCATAAAGACAACCTCCAGGAGGGAACGACGATGTCAAACCATGGATTCCCCAAATGCTCTTGAACGATTTGTGTGTTCTCGCCCATTCGAGGTCCCGTCGGCAAAAGACGGCCCGAGAGGCACCCAAGATGGCCCCGAGACAGGGCTCCCAAGACGGCCCGAACGGCTCTCGAGATGACCGAAGTGGTCTCCAACACGGCCCAAAAAGGCCCCCAGCCGGCTCAGGAGACCACCAAGGAGACCCTTCGGCGGTGGACACACCTCCCTGCAATAAACCACCCTGTAGTGAAAACGGCACAGGACCGAAACCGACGGACCTGGACCCGCAACAATGACGGCCGCGACGCCCCCTCGCGAACCGAAAACGGCCAATTCGCTAATCGACGTGTCAGGGTAGGAGGTCTATCAACCTCCGAACCCTTCAGGGCCCCTTCTGGCCCCAAGACAGCCCCGCGAGGCCCCAGACGGACTCCGAAGGCGCCAGGCTGCCCGAGAGCGCACCGAATACACCCGAAGAGGCCCCCAACCTGCCACCCAAGGGGCCGCAAGAGGGAAGGCGGGCAGACGAGGAAGGGAGGAAGACGACAACGAACATGAGGAGAAACACACCGACTCGGAACGAAACAGTGTGTCACATGTTACGGCTTTCCCGTGCTCTCCACGGGCAATTGCCACACAGAATGATGGGCTGGCATGGCTGGACTTGCCGCAGGCAGCTGGGCTACAAAAAGTTGCATGAGGACCCACCGACCCGCGGTTGCAGAGGGTACAAAGGCGTGTGGGACGCTTCGCTGTCCCGCTGTCCCTCTCTTTCTTTCCCCCTCCCCCAGGGTGGGTCCGAAATCGTGCTTGAGGGGGGGTGGGCTTGGATGAAGAGGGCACTGGGAACTCTCATCAACGGTACCCGAGTCCTTCCTGACCGTCCGGACACACTTTCCGCGACTTGCAACAGGGTTGAACCTAAGCGGTGTTTTTCGTTTTCGTGTTGTTTTCGTTTTCCCTCGTTTTGTCTTTCATCCGCCTCTGACGCAAAGCAAGATCGACACGAACACGGCCCACGCAATCACCGAACACACCGTTTGGGTCCAGCCCTGACTTGCAAGAGGCCCACCATGCGGTCCACGACTGCTCAAAAAGAGCGCCAACGCGCCAAGAACTAGGGCTCCCAACTTCGCGCTTCGCGCTGCGCGAGGCGCGAAGCGCGAACAACTTCGCGCTCTCGCGCCGCCCCCCAAAAAGGGAGAAAAGGAGGACGGCCGCGGCGCCCTCTCGAGAACCAGAAACGGACAATTCACGAATCGACGTGTCAGGGTGGGGGTTCTGTCCGCCCCCGGTTCTAGGAAGCCCCCCTGCCTCCTCCAGAGGCCGGTCCCCCCACGCCACCCCCTTTGGCACGCCGCGGTCAGCCGTCGGCGCGGTGGGCGCGACGAAGGCGAGCGAGAGTGCCATGCTGCCTGAGCTCCAGGGGCGGGGCGAAGCCGACAATGCCTGTCTCCCGCCACGAGCGGATCGAATCAACGACCTGAGCCGCAATGGCTACGGATACGGATGCGGATGCGGATGCGGATGCGGATACGGATATGGAGGAGGAGGAGGATACGGAGGAGGAGGAGGAGGAGGAGGAGGAGGAGGAGGGAAAGAGGAGGAGGAGGAGAGGAGGGGAGGAGGAGATAGGAGGAGGAGGAGGAGAGGAGGAGGAGGAGGAGGAGGAGGAGGAGGAGGAGAGGAGGAGGAGGAGGAGGAGGAGGAGGAGGAGGAGGAGGAGGAGGAGGAGGAGGAGGAGGAGGAGGAGGAGGGGGGGGGCAGTGTCTCAGAAGAAGAACTCAGGGGGGGGCAGAAGAGGATGCAAGGGGAAGAGGAGGAGGAGGAGGAGGAGGAGGAGGAGGAGGAGGAGGAGGAGGAGAAGGAGAGGGAGGGATCACGAGGAGGCGGATGAAGCGGAGGAGGAGGAGGAGAAGTAGGAGGAGGAGGAGGAGGAAATGACAGGGAAAGGAGAAGGAGGGAGGAGGGGTGTGATATGGAGGATGCAGAAGATACGGAGGATACAGGAGGATACGGAGGAGGAGGAGGAGGAGGAGGAGGAGGAGGAGGAGCAGGAGGAGGAGGAGGAGGAAGGAGGAGGAGGAGGAGGAGGACGACGAAGATAAGCAGCACCAGCAGCCAGGGGAACGACACTGGCCAGCAAGGGAAGGGCGGACAAGGCAAGAAAAACGAGCCGAGAAAAGTAGATTTTGAACAACAACACATGAGATGCTGAGGTCCGATGCTTCTCAAGAGGGCTATCCCGACGGCGCACGGCGAGGCGAGCCAGAGACGGAGCAGAGGAAGAGGAGGCGACAGGGGGGAAGACTGAGGCAGAGGCGGCAGAGGCAGGGGGCGGCGTGGCCGTGCAGACTCAGTCGCTGATTTATGTTGCATCCTCGGGGGACCTTGTCTGTCCCGTCGCGGCCCTGTCCGCGTCGAATGCGTGTCGAATCCATGTCGGACGCGTCGGATCCGTGTCGAATCCGTGTCGAATCCGCGTCGAATCCACGCCAAATCTGCGTCGAGTCCGCATCGAGCGCGCGTCGGGCCCCCCAAAAGACACCAATTTTGGGGACAGGCGAGGTCCCCCGAAGATGCAACAGAAGCTGATCGCCTAGGCTCAAGTTGTGAAGCATTCTGACCGGCAGTATACACCCTCTTTACGTCGTCGAAGTCGGCGCAGGAGGCCTCGACATCTCGGATTACATAGCGGCTGGGCTCATGGTAAGGGAGCGAGGGCTGCTGCTGGTACGGCTTCACGTGCTTGATCTTCTTGGTCCTTCCCCTTTTGTCTAATATTCTCAAGGTCATGCTTACTAAGGCCGTCGGCGTCCAGCAACCTATTCCAGACACACTCGAAGCACTCGGACGAGCGGATGTGATTCGTTAGGCTCTCGTAACAGCCCATAGAGCCAGAAACAGGATCAGGTGGTAGGTTAACTCGTGCTGAAATCCTGGCATGCTCCCTTTTGGTGTCCTTGAACTTCTGCTGGTGCTTCTTGCACTGCTGCTCCGACTCCCACAATTGCTTGCGTAAGGAGTTGACCTCGCACGTGGCGGTTAGGCACCTCTGGTTGGCGTCGTGGAGCGGAACCTCAAGCTGGATAACGTCTGTCTGTGTGGAACGCTGCCAGGTCCCGACGACAGAACATCTGGCTTCCATCGCAGCCAGCTGCTTGCTCAGGGAGTGGTTGGCTTCCTGGAGCGTGGAAATCATGGCACAGAAGCTCTCGTGAGGTTCTCTTGCATGGTATCTACCCATTACGGACATCACCACGGACATCTCTGCGAGGAGAACAGACCTATCACGAGATAGGGGAAAGTCGTGATTGAAGCGTTGAGGAGCAAGGTGCGCACCCGTACAGCTATCCACGGCATCGACATCGCCCGCGCAGCTATCCACGGATCCGTCCCCCTCGGACAGGAGATCGTTAGATCAAAGATGGGGCCTTCAAGAAGTGCTCCAGCAAGTGGAGCTTCACGGCTAACTACGGAAGGGGCAAAAGGAGGAGGAGGAGGAGGAGGAGGAGGAGAAGGAGGAGGCACCTGTGCCACTGGGTGCCCTCGGGCGTCCCAGAACAACAGGCGGGTTGCAGCCCGATCGTCACCCCTGTTTGCCCGTAGTGGGCCAGGGGGAGAGAAAACTGCTCTCGTCGCCACGTTGCGTCCCCCTTGCGGTTGCCCACCTGGTACCCCGCCAGGGCTTGGGCGGGGGCGCGGGTCGCCTGCGGGCGGCTCACTGGGGGATCCCCACACATCCTTCCCACGGCCCAGGTGCCCCGCCTGGTGCGTGCGTGGGGGGTGGGAGTCGGCCGGAGGGGTGGCGCCCCTCGGCTGGCTTGGGGCGGCACTGGGGGTGTCGTTATCTGAGCCCCTCGGGGCGGGCGCGGCTTGACTGGGGGTGTCGTTACCTGAGCCCCTCGGGGCGGGCGCGGCTCGAAAAACTGGCGGTAGGCAGCGAGGCATGTTCCCCCCAGCTGTCTTGCCTCATCTGCCAGTCCTACATCGCCGTGACGAGAGTTTCTTTCAATTTGTCTTTTGGAATGACGCGCTCGTGCGGAGTAGTTCGGAGTAGTTTTACTAAAACTACTCCTGGCGCAATCGCATCCCGCTCGATAACTTATATGGTTTGGCGCGGAGTAGTTTCCGATCCCGTTTTGGGGTAACGGAGTTATTAACGTCTCCGGGATCGGAAACTACTCCGCCGAATGACCCCAGCATCATGCCATGTTAGGAATATTGAAAGGGATGGGAGAGATCTTCAGCATAGCAAATTGAAGAAACTTTTGTCACGGCTGTGTAGGGTCAATGTACCCTCGGGGCGCCCTTCCCTCAGTGGGGAGGGTAATCGGCCTGCTGCGCCCTGCAGGTGGAGGAGGCCGCTCCCATTTGGGCCTGATGCTCGCTCGTCTCGCGAGTTGGGGATCTTGCCTGGAGGGGAGAAGCTGGAGAAACAGGGGGAGGAGAAGGAGGAGCAGGAGGAGGAGGAGGAGGAGCAGGAGGAGGAGGAGGAGGAGGAGGAGGAGGAGGAGGAAAGGCCCATCACGTGGCGGACTCGGTGGGGGCCGCGGCCGGGACGGCGACCGAGCCGGGGCGCAGCCATCGCTACCAGGACGACCTGGACGTCATCTGCCAGCCGGCCGTGGCGGCGCAGACGGAGGCGGCACTCGTTGCTGCTGGTGCGCCGGTGGGCCTCCGAGGCAACCTGGCCAAAGCCAAGCTGAGCCCAGGGCGCGATGTGGATGTGGCAGCGCTCCCGGCGCGCCCAGAGTTGGAGCCGCGGGCCCTCGTGCTGCGCCACGGCGCGCTGCCCGCTGCACCAGGGGTGCCAGTGGCCCCGGTGCCAGTGCCAGCTGACGGCAGCATGCTGGCAGAGGGGAGCCCAGAGGTGGCCCGCCCGGCGGCCTCCCGTGCGCGGGTGTACTCCCGCTTGAGAGAGCTCCGGGCCGCTGGACTGGACGCGCAGCAGGCCCTCGCGCTGCTGCGAGCCCAGACGAGCTGCGACCACACTTTGCTCGCGCGCACCTGCGGCATCCCGACGACGGAGGCCCGCGCCCTGGTCGCAGAGCTCTTGGCGGAGGTGCAGCTCTTGCGCGGTCGGCCGCTGGAGCTGGAGGGCCTGAGCGGGAGGAAGCTTTGCATCGCGGTGAAGGACGGCGGGCTGGGGCTGCCGAGCGCCGAGCTCACAGCCGCGGCGGCCCAGGCGGCGTCGTGGCACCTCTGCCTCCCGCGCTGCCCGCGCAGACTTGGGCTAGGAGGAGGAGGAGGAGGAGGAGGAGGAGGAGGAGGAGGAGGAGGAGGAGGAGGAGGAGGAGGAGGAGGAGGAGGAGGAGGGGGAGGAGGAGGAGGAGGAGGAGGAGGAGGAGGAAGGAGGAGGAGGGAGGAGGAGGAGGAGGAGGAGGAGGAGAGGAGGAGGAGGAGGAGGGAGGAGGAGGGAGGAGGAGGAGGAGGAGGAGGAGGAGGAGGAGGAGGAGGAGGAGGAGGAGGAAGGAGGAGGAGGAGAAGAGGAGGAGAGGGAGGAGAGGGAGGAGGAGGAGGAGGAGGAGGAGGAGGAGGAGGAGGAGGAGGAGGAGGAGGAGGAGGAGGAGGAGGAGGAGGAGGGAGGAGGAGGAGCTGAAGCAGCAAGAGCAGTAGCATCCGCTGGCGGGAGAGGGCGCGGAGGACACGTGAGCCAGCAGAGAGGCGGACTGCTTGCGGGACTGTTGGTGGTGAGCACGAGGGGACACAGCGAGGGCGGCTGCCCCTGGAGTTTGAGCAGGGACCGACCGTCCCGACATTCCTGTTTAAAGGGGAACTAGGACACACACATAAATACACACAAATAAACATATCCCCCATATTTTCCCATATTTTCTGTGTTTTTGTCTTCCCCCCACTTCCCATAGTTTCCCATATTTTTGCGGGAATCGCCGATTAATTGTGTCTGTGTGTTTCTTTCCCTCCTGACTGTTGGCCTACCACGATATGTTCTCAGAACAAAAAAATATGTTCTAGGAACAAAAGCACTGTTCTTAGAACGTAAGCCCGATGTGCTAAAACAAAACAGTCTCAGCCAGAAATGTTCAAAGAACATCTCGTGCAGACCACAAAAGGTTCTTAGAACACTCCTTGGTGGGCCTACAGGCGAGCCAGGACGCTTCGCAACAAGCCTCTGGGGAGGGCCCGCTCTCTTCTGATAATCCCGCTGCCTTCTTAGCAGGCCACCTCCTCGCCCTGCCCCCGCATGCACCCATCCAGGCCGGCTGCCCGGTGCGGAGCCGGCCTCGGCACCACCTCCATGGACGCCGGCGTGAACTGCGTCAGGCTCCAGTGGAGGCTCGTCAGGTAGCAGTACCAGATGTCCTGCGCCGCGGTCGTGAGCCGTCTCCAGAGACTGCGGGTCTTGAGAAACCTCCCCATCATCCTCCCTGCTTCTTGTCGCATTCCCAGACGTGTCGGCAGGGCGGGCCGGGTGTTTCGCCTGAGACTTCCTCACTACCTATGATCCTGAAACATTATGATCCTGAAGCTGGGA